TCTAGGCCCTTAGCTCCTGTGTTCCCAAGTGTCTGTTCTTGTACCATGGCTGGGCTTTGATCTCTGAGGTATTGTCTTATAGCATCTTCTGACTTCAGGCCCTACTGGAGATTATGTTCCCTACTTCCCACTCCCCTCTTATATATTGAGGGTGAAGTTGGATGTTGGTTGACTTGAGATTCATATTTTGCCTCAAACTTTGGCAGGCGGCTGCTGGCAAAAGGGTTGATACAGGCCGTGAAGGCAAATTATTGTCAAAAGGCAGGAAAAATATTATAAATCAGTAGCTGAAATAGGGTGAGAGGTGAGCTCGGGGCTCTGTTTAGCATCTAGGATCCAGGTCTTATTTAGCCTTGTAATGATGCTTCTGGTCCACTCTGAGGAAAAACAAACGTTAGTGATTTTGAAGAATAGAGTAGTTTGCTCTGTTATATAGCACATTTTTGGGTTATTTTAAGAATTTCCAAGTTCTTGATAAAGTAATGGAACAAACTTTAATGTTCCTATGAGGGGAAGTGTTGCACAATACCCACCTAGGGTTGTGCAAGCTGAGTCGGACCGAAGTTGGATAACATGGTCTTTTGAATTCATGAGGTTCAAAATCTGCAGGATTACTGGTTTTTAATCCAGTTAAACAACTCCCAACCAACCATCTAGACTCCTTCCTGATTTAAATAATGAGATTATCTTAGTCTTTTCCCACTAAAGTGAGACAGAAAGGTCCACTGTATAGAACAGAGGTGCTCAACCTCCAACCTGTGGGCCAGATGTGACCTGCGAAGCTCCCCCCATAGGGAAGTCTGGTGGCAGGGGAGCATTGGCAATACTGCCACCCCTGCCCACTGCCAAAATGCCAGGCCCCTGGGGCAGTTGGAGTTGGTCATAACCCTCCCCCTGCACAACCAGATCAGAGCCAGGCCATTCCCCCTTTTTCCACCCAGTCAAGTTGGGGCCGGGCCATGACCCCTCCCCTCCATAGCTGGGTCAGGGCTCGGCCATGAAGTTGGTCTAGGCTGGGTTACAGCCCCTTTCCCCCCCGCTCGCTGAGGCATTAGGCAGTCACCAGCAGCTTTAATCTGTTGCTTTCTGGCAGAAGCCAGAGCCATCAAGGCACTGAATGTCTGAACTTGGTTTGGCTTTTAGATGGTGTCTCAGTGGTCAAAAGGGGGTGGTAGGTCTAGGGTGTCCTCCACTCCTCCATACTTATGCCTAGGCATATGTGCTAAAGGTCTTGCTGTGTAGACCTCTTCTATGTATGCCATAACCCAGAGGATCAACAATTGCCTATTGTTTATTTGAATTAAAGACTACCCTGATTATAAGACCCCCCCCCCCTCCCAGTAATTGGATTCTATATATGGAAAATTTATACATTTGTTATAATTTTCCAGGTATAGAATCTAATTATTGGAGGTTTGCTTTTGATTTGTCCCCTTCCCACTGCTATATCAGGGGAGAAAAATCGAGGGGGGGGAAGGGTCAGGTAATCCTTTGTTTTTTGCTTCTCCCCAACTTCTTTCCCTGGCAGCTCCTTTCCCCTCTTCTTACTATCAGAACCTGTTCTCCCTGAGCACATGGAATTGAGGAAATTTGGAAACAATAACTTTGCAACTAAACATGGCTGTAACAATTGTCAGATAGTACCTAAGCACTTAGTTTTTTTATCCAGACTTTATGTATGTTACCTTTTTTTTTTTAACTGCTGCAAGTTTAGCACGGGTACTCCACGAACACATTTTCGAACAGCATTTTGGCACCTATTTATATGTAGTACAAGCTATGCATAGTATGGATCCAAAGCTTGTGATTTACTACTTAGGTCATTGGGCTGGGCCTCACCAGAGTCAACAGAATTTCAAGCCACAATGACCCCACAGCTCACCACTGCTCAGTATGTGTGTGTACTTCAGATACCCTGCCCTCTTCCCCCCCCCCCCCCCAAGGATCTGTGTGCTAATTAGCCCCCACTTATGACTGGAACCAGATGTTCTTGTCACAAGTTGTGGGATTCTCCAAAAATGTATTGCCCTGCAGCTGAGGTGCAGGGCAGCCTGGTCCAGCTTTACCTCATTGAGCACATGGCCATATAGAGTATGTGCCAGGCTGACGGGGCAGCAGAGGGATTCTGGGTGAACTGCATAGTGTTGTGGCTCACCATGACTTGAAAAACAGTTGGTGGTGAGAGGAGACCGTACTTAATGAGCACTACCATATTTCTTATTCAGGCTACTCTTGTGGTAGGTTCCCATCAGCATTTCAGCCTTTTGGCTGAGCATTAAGCTTTTGTGACACCAAAGGGAGGGTGTCAGGACTGACTCTGGTCCTCCTGGTGCTGACCTGGTGTTGTAGTACCTCCAGGCCCGTTCTAGTTCCCTGTGGGGGGAACACCCACCCATGTTTTTAAGGGCCAGAAAAAAGGTGGGGGGATCCCATCAGCATGTTTGCCTGATGTGGGGCAAGTGTTTTATAGTCATGCTCAGTGTTAGCTGCATTTAATCAACTTCACATTTGGTTTCTATTACTGAGCACATGCTGCTTTTGGCAGCAGTTTAATTATAGAAATGTATTTAGTGAGATTACCTTGTATGTAAATGTAAGACGAGGGGCTTTTTTCCCATGCCAATTTTGGGGGGAGGAGGGAAACTTGTCTTGTATTCTAGTAAGTGTTTGTGTATCCTCTTACCAGCCACTCAACTGGCTCTTTGCCTTTTTGTCTGTGCCCTGTTCTGGCATGGATGGAAGCCATTGGCAGATGTGCTGTAGAAACACTGGAGTTACTTTATGATGCCATTAGCTGAGGGGAAAATTGTCTTTTTTAATTTTTATTTGTAGCATTTCTGTAGTATAACATAGAGTAGTATGTGTGTAGGATCTTGTACTCTTTCAGTTGAGATTCAAGTGCGTGCAGATGGAATAAATCTAAGAGGTGGCCACAAAGATTAAATAAATCATAAAATGGCATTGAGAGGTGGAGGCAGGTTTGAGCAAGTTTACTGAAGTATGAGTTAGGTGTGCTTTTGCTGAAGTGCCTGGGTCCTCACAAACGAGTTGAAATAAAGTATTCCAAAATGTGGCTCCCTTAAAATAGAAATTAAAGCAAAATTCTGAAAACTGGAGCGCCTGTGGAAGATATCAAGTTAACGTCAGTATTCTTGATGTCCCAGTGGAAAGGTGGAGATCATCTAGGGAAACCCATGTGGCATTCTGGAGAGGGCCATGACAGGAAATACATGAAGCACAAATGGCATTTGCCTGGACACTTGCTTGTTGTTTAGATAGCAGTAACGTGTAGGAGACCGAGTCATGGACTCTGTCCAGCGTGTTATACAAACATGGAACTTAAAAGGACAGTCCCTGCCCTGCAGAGGAGGAGAAAATGCAGCGTATGTGTAGACCTCACAAAAGAGGAGTTGGATGTATTTTTTTTAATTAAAAGTGCCTAAAGCTTTTGGCCTATCCTCGTAACAAGAAATAATCCGTTAAAAATATTGTTCAGTTCTTTTGAAGATAAGAAGTGATGTAATATTAAGTATTATTAAGGGAACATAAAAAGCATGTTCTCTGCGACACCCACACATGATATCTTTACATCTGTTATTTACTCATGTACTTCCTTATGTGATTATGGGGCCCCCTCCCCACCTCCAGTGTGCATTATTCTGCATTCGGTTTACCAGGAAGAAAGACGGGACTCCAGGCAAGTTTGTATGTTTAAAAAATACCCCTCAAATCCAACATAAATTTTTAAAAAAATTGTAGGTGTGTAGTGGAAAATGAAATACTATTAACCTTGTATGGGAAGACTCATTTTATGCATAACTAATATTAAGGGTAGTTTCATGGGAAACAAGTTTTGTTCAAAATTAATTGATCATAGCTGCTTGCTATGGAGTATACTTCTGTTGAAGTTCTGTTGAACTTCTCTAGAGTTTTGTTATCTGAAATAAGTCTCTTGAACAGGTGAATCCATTCATATTTTTTTTAATATATTTTAATGCTTATTCACTGTTTAAATAGTAAGCAGCCATCTTCATAGTCTGACCTAGTTTGATATGCCAGAAATGGGAAAAGCAAGAGATTTGCAAGACCGTTGTTATATATACTTGAAAAAATTGCAGTAGAGCTTGTCTCATGAAAATGTTGCTATTTCCTGAAACATTTCCATGCACTCAGATGTTGGACTGTTTCCTATTTGCCAAACTGTCATCAGACTGGATTTCCGGTTGCGGAGAAGTATTAGCAAAGTAGCACTTGTCCCTCCTAGAATAGTTAATACACAGAAGAATGCCAAGTTGTCCAAAAAATTTTGTGTAATGGGAATCAGTAGAATATTATAGAGAGATAAATAGGAAGTTGATTAGGAGAGGCTCAGAGGCTGCGGAGGGAGAGCAATTGAAATCTTACTATATTTCCAAATTTTTAATTGATTAGTTTTAGCTTAACATTATGTTTTCACTTTTGAAATCCTGTCCAAGATGGAGTATTCCTCTCAAATGCTCTCTCCATGAACTGGCCTTCCATAAAGCACAAAATTTGAGACCTGCACTTAATAGAAGATCAGGAGAGAAAAAAACTAAACTTTGCTCAACAGAAAAAAACAAAATATCTGCAAAACTGTTCTTCCTGCCCTCCCTCCCCCAAGGTTAATTTAGATGAATCAAGTTTAAATCTTTTTTTTCCCAAAGTATCACATGGAATGTTCCTTAAAGAAATGCTTATATGTGATGAATCTTTATTAGATTTTTATCATAAACAGTATTCCTAATCTTCCATGTTAACTTGCAGCATAGTGTGTGGATGTCACAAAATGACATTTTTGATTTGCCATTTTAAATGGACTCTTTTGCATCACTTCTGAAAATGTTAAGCATAGTTTGAAATATCTGCATGCTTTAATTTAAATGGTGTGTAAGGATTTTGTTGAATGGAAATCTAAACACATTCAACTCTAAGCATGGAAGTGGTCTCATGATTAATTGAATGATTTCCTTTTTATAAAGTTATTTGAAGGAATATCGCCTGTTGCGATCTCAGTTGCAGATCAGACTAGTAGCCCAACACCACCCTGGCAGCATATGGAGAGAACTACGCTGACCAAGAGAAAAGATGGAGAAACCACACCTACAAGTTAAAAGGATGTAAAAAAATGGCATGGAAACACTTTTGTTAATTATTCTGCACACCCCATCTTCCCCAAGAAAAATCATCAGTTGACCTAATTAGCTTTTTGAGTATGTGCGTGACACTATTTAAATGAGATGTATTCCCACCAGTGTCTTAAATATGAGAAACAAAATGTTCTTTTGTCTGTTTTAGAAAACTGTAAGCCTTTGCACAACAGTAAACTTACTTCCCTCCCCCATATCATTCTGTTCTTGAATATAGACCTAACTAACAAAAGGTTTTCCTAAATTCTTTAATGTCCTTAAGTTTTTACCTTAGAGGACTCTAGCACATCTGTGATATTCCACTGAAAAAAGCCTGGCTGCGCTGAAGTAAGCAGATCTACATAATTCTTAACAATTCCAGAAAAAATAAGCAGCAGAAACAATTCACCTTTGTAATTATAGAGGAAATGCTTCTGAGGAGCTGGAATTTAGTGTGCGATTTTGATATTGGTGAAAGGAATATTGGGGCATTGTATGATAGGTAATGCAGAAAATTACAGAGAATTATTGTTTTATTCCCTGCTCTTGGGTTGGTATAGGATGAGATGAGTAAGTGCTCAAATTGATGTGAAGGATGTTTTTCCCCCATTCAGTAATGAATCTAGAAAAGAGCTTTGCAAGCAGGAGTACTCATAAAAACAAACAAACAAAACCGTATCTAGGAGCAAATTATTTCTCAACAGAGTAGCTAACAATATGCACTTCTGAATCTCATATTTTAATTTGAATGTTCAAAATTCATGTGGTTAATTGTGTGAATTACCAGGCAGGGATCATAAATAATACCACTTGAAGTCGGGGAGCCATGCAAGTTGCTAAGGGGAGTCCCTGTTCTCATAGTTGTTAGGAGCATTTCCAAGTGATCACTCTTTCTAAGAGTTACTTATAAGAAATTTATGTTCTGTAAATTTGCTGGAGACAAGTTACAGGAAAACAGAAATGTATTTGTTTCTTTTGAACACAGCTGTCGTGGACTGTGGGCTAGTTGCAAAATGTTTTACTCAGTTTATCCTTCTATAAAATAAGTTAATTACTTCATAAGAATGTTGTGAAGTTTAATTAAAGTGTAATTATCTAGGCTCTGTGTACATATATAGCTTGATCCAAAGGTCATAGCAGTTGGTGGGAAGCTTTTAATTAACTTGATTGGGCTTTGCATCAATTCCATAGTGCTTTTCATCAACGTACTGCATTATTTTATGGTAAATATGACCGACACTTTGCATTAACTCTCTCCAGTGCTGCAAACTGAAAATAATGATGGTGCTCAAGTAAACTACAGAAGTGTGTTTTAAGCAAATTATGAAATCATACTGTCAGTGTATTATTCTATGGTGTCGAATACTGTGATACACAGTTTTAACCAGTTTCCTGTTTTTCAGTGTGCTCAATTTTTGCATTGAGTTCTGTTTAATTCCATTGCAAACCTGAAGATTTACTTAACTATTTGTGGGAGACACTTTGAGATTTGGAGACTAACACAATAACTGGATGTCTGTTCAAATAATCAGCAGTAACAGACACTTACCATATAATTAGCTCTAAGAGTTGACACCAAAATGAGAGGAGTGAGAGCATTCATATCTCTGAGCTATTTTGGGGCCTGGCAGCAAACTCCAAAAAAACCCGCATCAGTTTAACTGCGATTCCCATTTGAAAGGTTTTAAACCATAGAGGTTAGAGACTTGAATTTTTTGCAGTGGAAGCTTAACCACTTTACAATTTACAGCAATGGATGGATTTGGCAGCCGAAATACATAGGCTTCTGATTATACAGTATCTTATTTCAAACTATGGAAGATTGCACATACTGTCAGTAACTGTTTTTAGTTACCTGATTCCACGCTTCAGGTATAAATTCTACCTAAAATTCCACATGTGTAACAGTGGAAGAATTTAGCTTTGTGTTTTTTAATTAATCATTTATGAGGGACAGATGATAAGCTGGCAACTTTCTGGTAGTTACAACTATTTTATAGTAATCTCTATCTGCTCCTTCCCTTTAGGGAGGTGTTTCACTTCAAGATTGTGATTGTATTAAGATGGGTGGGACATGAAAAAACCTCCAAACCTCACTGGATTTTTTTTTTCCATTAAATGATATGGTTACACGTAACATAGATCAGCAAAATGTTTTAAATCAATGACTAATTTAAGAACTCAATCATATTCAACTTCTGCAAAAGGATCTGCTTTGTACCAAGTGTGATGCTTGATAGTCCCAGGGTTTCTGAAACAGTTGTTACTAGTATATAATGGGGTTTTGGTTATTAAGCTGATTAAATTGGTTAAACAGTGTATTTATCATTGGAATTCTAGACACCTCTTGTAGTTGGGTAGTAGCATGGTCTCTCTAGGTAAGCACTTTGGGCTTCTGAAATAATCAGTTTATTTTTAAAAATGTTTAACGGTGCTAATGTTAATCCACGAATAAATCATTTTCTAGATGTTGTGAGAGACGCTGTGCTCCATGCAGCTAATCTGGTTATTTTCTTTACAGATGCCTATTATTCTTCCAGGCACAAATGAAATAAATTCAACATTCATTAGGACTTCTTAAAAAGAAATTGACTGCAGGTTTTTAGGAGATTTTTTTTTTTAAACTCATGCATTAGTAGGTTTTGGCTAAGGGGAAAATATTGCTGTTAAATCAATGAGTTCATTCAGAATTATTTTGCAGTTTGGGCTAATGTAACTGTACATATAGAATTGTGTCTAGGGAGGAAGGAAATTGCATCCCTGCTTGTCAGGAAGCCGGGAGCCTCTTGAGGGCAAGATTTCCTTCCCTCAATCCTACCTTCTATCAAAACCCCTATAGCATGCATTTACAAGAAGCCAAAACTTACAGATGGTAAAACATCTGCATCAAAACCAATATATAATTAGGAGTTTGTATATTGGATTTGTGGATGTTAGAAATTCCAATTGCAAAAAAAAGGGACAAGGAACCTTTTTTTTTTTCCCCCTCTTCTTGCCTTTCTATACCTCACAAATACCTTTTGAAAGCTGGGTGTGTTCATTTAATAGTCACAATGTGACTAGCCCTTCCTAGTGCTTTTTCATGCATGCTTTATAGCGGAGATAAGAGGTAACAGATTCACTTCTATAGACTAATTATGAAATTAACTGCTCACAGATTTGTAATATGTGGGGTAAAATGACTTCTGGCTGAATGGTCCCTTGGTAAAATTCCTGGGGCAGTGAACAGATTTGCTTGGAAAAAACACAGTATCAGTAATAATAAAATACCTTAAGGGTCTAAATGGTCCATGCTTCAGTAGATATAACACAAAGTGAATATTCTAGACTGTTCTCCACTGGATATTAAGCTATCTTTAATAAAATTATGCATATTTTGGTTTTAAAAGCAGCCAATAAATTGCACGCTGAGTCAACGTAAAAACATACACTTGTAAAAACATCCCCCTAAATAGACTCTCGGTCATTATTCATGTCTTAGGTCTTGTAAGCAACAGTGTGAGAAGTAGCAGGGAAAAAATCGTGTATTGCGTTTCTGTAAAGTTACTGAATGGGCAGGTGGTGAGGAAGTGATGTATTCATCATTCCAGAGTGAACCATGATGCTGTTTGAGTTTAGGAAAGTGTTTAGTGCTTTTGTCTGTTATTAAACAACCAATTTCAAATGTCAACATTTGTTAGCATCAGAGACTGCAGTCTGAGTAAAACTCAGTCATACCTTAAATAATACTACAAGTTGTCAAAACAGGAAATTGATCACCAGTTTAATGTTTATCTGATTTTTTTAATAACTAGCTATCACCTTTAGAAATTATTACAGGTAAGTAGACCTATTTTCTCCTATAAACAACCCTGTACATGTAATATAAAGCTTTATATGATCTAGAATTACCATGTTAAACATCAGTACAAATTACAGAGCAGCAGAGGTCACATTTTTAAATTATAAAGTATCTTTAATATGCTGGGCGTCTATAGAAAGATACTATGGTGACGAACACTGGAGAAATGCCTATGAATAAAATGGTGCTTCAGTAAGTGAAATAGAGGAGATACATAGTTTAAGTTCACATTACTCATGATGCCTGCCATCTCCTGTTAAATATATAAACATTGTGCACTGACGCTGGGGGAAAAGAAACTCGATTGCCAGACCACAGGCAGTTTGATTCCAAATATGGTGGTTCTAGTTTTTTGGTTGTGGTCTCATTCTTGTAGATTTTAAATTAAATATGCTTGTTGCTGTTATCCTTTCTGTTCCATTTTTAAACTGTTCTGTAAAGGTTTTCTCTCTGTCATTTTCTTATTCATAGTGCCAGTTTCTCTTAAATCTTCAATTTTTGTCTTCCTGTTAATACGAATTAAAGTGACACTACTTCTACCAGTCAGAGACAGAAAAAGATTGTAGTTGCAAAATCTAAATAAAAGTCTTTATTTTATACTAATACAGCATTGCCAACTTTTATGATTGCTGACGTTGTTCTTAAAGTCTACACTTCAGGAATGTGAAAAACTTAGCTCTTTCATATTCATCACACACACACACACGCACACACACACACACGCACACACACACACACGCACACACACACACACGCACACACACACACACGCACACACACACACACGCGTTTCCACATTCCCAAAGTGACTTTAAGAACAATGCCAAAAATCTTGAGAGTTGGCAACACTGCTAATATTATGGCTAATGTCCATTTGACTTGAAACTTAAATATGAATATACAATACCAGTTGTCCATTCGCACTGATTTCAAATGTTTGCTGTGACTGTGGTTGTCAATGTGTTTTCTTCCTGTGTCACTTCAAGTTAGCAGAAAATTGCTTCAGGGAACTGAAAGTCCATCTGCAGTTAAGCGAAAAACCTGTTTTCATCTTCGTCTAGACCCTACGTAGAGTGAGCCATCCATTGCCAGGATGAACCAGTTCTCTCAGGCTTTCAGATGTAAGGGCCAAGATTGTCTCCCTCTGCTATGAGGTTAGATGCAACTGAAGTTTGATGTTACTTCCATTCTTTGAATGCTCTCCAAAAGTTCTGCTGATATCTACCTATCAGACATCTCGTTGTTCCCTAAAAATCCATAATTTCTCTAAGACAATGTATTTTTTCACTTGGTAGAGCTGAAGTTTCTTGTGATCTAAGAAACCTATTACAGGTACTCCTTTCTTAACGTCGTCCCGGTTAGTGTTGTTTTGTTATTACATTGCTGGTCTATTAAAGAACATATACATTGAAATGCAGTGTCTAGTTATAACGTTGTTTGGCTGCCGCCTGATAGTAGGTAACTACTGTGACATAATTGGATTCACTTAACATGGTTTCGCTTAAAGTTGCATTTTTCAAGAACGTAACTATGATGTTAAGCGAGGAGTAGCTGTACTACTTTTTCATGCAAAAAATATTGACTGAAGTTGCATAACAAAGGTAGTATCTTAAATTTAAAATGTAAGTTTTATAAATGATTTAGTCGTAGAGACTGAATCCCATGTAAGTACCCATTCTTTCCTATTCCTATATATATATTCACATTATTTGGGTGTTTAATCTTTTAAAATGATCCACAAAAAGGACCGACTTAGAATGTTCTTTTGATGCTTGATATGTAATTCTGTTTATAGCTGTAATTATTTTTACATGCAATAACTGGTCATTAAGATGAGCAACTATCCATTATCGGATTGCCAGCTAATTTCCTGTTTTGAAAGTTTTTGTAGCCTTGTTATAAATATAAGATGAGGTCCATGAGGCTCAGTGGAAGATACTAGCTGTTGAAATGACAGATGCACTCTTCTGTTGTCATCTATTAAAGATCATCTTGATTTAAAGTAAGATGCTTTCTAGATGGTATCTTTTTCTTTAACATTGCTTCATTTTGTTGACTTAAGGCTCTAACTACTTTTTCAGCTTTCAGACGCGTTTTGTCACATTTCAGGAGGAAAATATTTTAAATGTAAATATTTTAATTGCAGTTTATAAAAACTGAAGTCTTGGCTAATGGATTCAAGTCTCTAGACACTAAATAACGGCATCAAACTTGGAAAGATTTGGGCATTGTTAAAGACAAAATAATGCTGAAGCTTTAAGCACAGTACTTTTTTAAAATTAATATTGACTTCTTTAAAAGAACTAGCTCAAAACAACATGTGTCATCTCATTCACTTGTTTGAGGCATAACAGATAGAGTTTGTGCTGTTATTGTGATATGGCAGAAATCTAAACCTAAACCTGTATTATATATGTTTACAGATCAGAGAAGAGAACAAGTTTTGAAAGAATAAAGGGCATGGAGTGAGGGTGTCTTCATACAACTAATGTGAGAGAGATGTTCAGAAGTACAAACTTGAACTAGGGAAGGAGAGAGAGGGGAGTATTTGAGATGAATGTTTTCACAGTGCTTTGGGATCCTCTGAAAGGAATGGTAGTAGTGAAAGGAATAAAAACCAAGGGGAAAGTCTCTGGTTTAGATAGAGAGATACTACATGTGCAAGGCTTCAGTCAAGATTTTTTTTTTCTTTCAGAAGGAGGACGTAGCACATCTGTCTAAAACTAAAAATCTGACACTTAAGGATCTCTGAAAATAGATTTCTGCTTGAAATTGAACTGAAATCTAATCCTAGGCTTCACTGACTCCGAAATCAGCTTGAAGATGCTCCAGAAAATGAGGCAGAAAAGACCTTAAGGATTCCACCTCTTAGCTAGGTAGCTGGTATGGGTTTTGCATTGTTGTATTCCTTTGGAAATGGGAACTAACACAGCCTCCAGCTCCCTCTGCCTGAAGTTCAGGAGTCAGTTTGAATTAGAGGAAAATTTGATTAGTATTTTGCACACTTCAGGTTTCAGGCTCCAGCTGTTCATAGGGGAATCTCATTGTATATCAACAAGTCTTAAAGTTGCAACATCCTCTCTGACTTGCAATAATCACACCCAGCAATTTGTAACCACTGAAGTTCTCAGTTAAGTAGTTGCGGAGGCTAATGGCTTAACCTTAGTATTGCACAATTAAGAAGGACTTCTTTGTGCTGGTTATTAACTGTGTTTGCATAGTACATGCGAATCCTGCAGAGGCTGGGTTTCTTCAAGGTACCTCATTATCTGAACTTTATAGTCCTCTCCTTTTAATTTGGAATTTTAGAATGAAAGCCGTCTTGCCTCCAATCCAGCCAGGTTGAAGAAAAAAATATTTGTGTAATTTGCATCTGCTCCAAATTGGAATAATTTGTTAGACATTATTTGGAACAAAGCAACCCTTCTCAGGGACGTTGCCAAGCCACAACTCAAATTCTAAATAGGCCCCGTCCTATTACAGACTCTAGTACCTTCAATTATTAAAACTGAAAACATAGCGGCATAAAATGTTGCTTATGCAGCTAGTTGACTTCCTGCCCTTTGCTCAGCTTGAGCTATGCTAGCTCTTCAGTTTCACATTAATTGGCCTGTCCAAGTAGCTTTAGTGTTTGGCTTCACAACAGTGCAAGGGAATATTTAACTGCAAGAAGAAGAAAAATTCAAACTGTTTGTGTTCAAATTGCACCCTTTCGAGACCTTACATTTCAGGGTATTTTTAAGAGGTTGGAGTATTGCATTTTTGCAGAACCTATAAATTAGTTGAAACATTCCATTTTGGTCTTTTTTTTTCCCCTTGAAATGAAGTTCCACGAGTCTGCCAAAAATCAGAGCAACTTGAAGAACCAATTTTTAAATTTTTTTTTCTGTGAACCTACCAGTTTTGATGCCCATCTGCTTGGAAAGGGAGAGATGACCTACCCTGCACTTCCAGAGTAGGATCTCCTATTTTTATAGCCTGCTTTTATACTAGCAAGTATTTGAGAATAACATGCCACTACTATTGGTTCGGCTCCACTGGTACCATCACGAGATCACTGCAGTTAATGGCATAGTCATTTTTACTACTGGTGGGGTTGATTGTCATGACACAACAGTTAACAATGCCTTATCCTTGTCTCTGTCAGCATTGTGGTGATAGTGCTGCTTATTAAAGAGACACTGCTTCTTATGCAGGCACACCTTCTCTAGTCAAGACCACATGTAGATCAGTCCTACTTACTTCCATCCCAAATTTACTGGATGCTAGGAGGAGACAGATAAATCTTGCTTTCCCTCCCTCCCTGGATATGTAAGCAAAGTACTTTCTCATAAGGGGGGAATCCACACATGCTATTTCCCTTGCCAAAGAGATGGGTGTGCATTCATAGGAGGGTTCAGCGTGTCAATGGTAAGCATGCTCTGCTCTGCTCAGTGCAGATGTTGAGCCTTGCAAAGCAGAGAGCATTCCTGTGATCCTGACCCTGGCGATGCACTTCAGGGAGAATGAGGAATGCAGTGCAGAAGTGCAGGGCAGTCACACGTTTGCCCGCTGCCCAGCTTTTGTTTGCCAGTTCGGAGAAGGCAAGAACAGTTTCAAACCTCAAGCTGTTGCTTTGGCAAAGCTGCACAGGCAGCCTAGGATGTAGCATACAGATCTTCCTCATTTATTATTCTGTCTTGTGCATCATATTAAAAATAAATGAGAAGTTTTTCTTCCTATGAGTTCCAAACAAGGAGAAATTAGATGCCCCAATTATGTTCCTTTTGCAGCATATATTTGATGCAGCAGGAGAAACTTTGTTGGTTTAATTACTGTGCCCTAGCTCAATGAAGGATTTCACTGTTTTATATACCAGGGAATAAGTATAGTATGGGCAGTGGAACAGAGAGCTTTCCCCATTTCATTTGCCAGTTTTCCTTACTTTTTAATTTCAGGTGGGTCAA